AATTGAAATGAAGAAATGAAGTCCTGACACATGCTATAACATGGATGGACCTTGAAAACATTATGCTAGAGAAATAAGTCAGGCACAAAAGGACAAGTATTATATGATCCAACTTATATGAAAAACAGTAAAATCTACAAAAGCCGGAACCTGTGTAAAGCGGAAACCTGTCAGAGAAGGAAAATGCAAACATTTTCCACTAACAGCGACAGAAAAGTGCTAAGCTGTACCCTGTGAAAGGTGGAAAAACAAGGCAGTCTCATCCAGTTCTGGCTCTCACAGGTTTCAGTGTATCTAGAATTGGCAGATGCATAGAAACAAAAGCTTATTAGTGGTTCCCAGGGGCTGAAGACAGGGGAGCTATTTATAAAGCAGTACTGAGTTTCTGTTTGGGGCGATGCAAAACTTTTGGAAATGGATAGAGGTGATGGCAGCACACTATAGTGACTGTAACTGATGTTTCTGAATTGTACACCTAAAAATAGTTAAAACGGCAAGCGTTGTTATAGATACTTTACCACAACTCCTAGTCTTATTCCATGGAGGATAAGCTTCCTTATCCTCCTTATCCAAAAAACAAAAAACAAACAAACAAAAAAAAGTCCTAGAACTTTGATTCTGAGTTGAGTTGGCAGACAGCAGCTTTTCTTTTACTGTCCCCAATTTGGTCAACCATAATCTGGTGCTTCTCTTCTGTGTGTGCGTGCGTTTTAATCTCAAAGATTCTTATAAAACATCTCCAAAGATACTTATACCCAAGAAGGAAGCTCTTGTTTTTACTAAGTACTGGGTTCTTGTATATTAAAATGCAACATGGCAAGAGAATCTAGAGGGCAAAGAAGAGCTAACACAGGAGTCAGCAGGAACATGAAGCTCATGGGATGGCCAGAATGGAAGGAAGTAGTCAAAAGCCCAAGTCCAGCTGAGCAGAAAAAGAAAAGACTGCAGTAGACTGGGATACACTAGGATTCAAGAGGCATGGTCCTCCAACAGTCAAGAGCAACGGGAATCCCCTCACCCCACCACCACTCATCCACCCAACCCTTGCAGCTTTAGGATGTAGAGAATCTTTCTCAACCTGACCTTGACCACTATAAGGTAGTCATGTTTCCCAATTCACTCATAATCCGCCTCCAGCCTCTCAACTAACACAACATTATCTCTCAATTTCTACATACGATTTTGTTTTATCCAGGAGGTATTTCCTTAATTTTCAAGCAATGTCTTTACCAAGTGATATATAATGCCAAGCCTCCAGTAACTTTGGGGTAGCAGTTTGGAGGGTAAAACACTTGGATATTGTCTCTTTAAAATCTCCTTCAATTAAGTCTTTTGTGATACACACAACATAACAAGATAGCCTTACCAATTCTAAAGAAATTGCTAGTGCGTTTCATCAAAGGCATGATAACATCGATTCACTCCTCGCCACAAACATCTTCCTTTGATGCTGCAGTTGCCTTAATACTAGTACTTCTCATTTTCTCTCAAAGAAAACAGCTGCCTCAATGCATGCACATCAGAGAAGGCTCCAGTCTAAAACAACACATTTGTATATCAATCTCAACGACATTTGCATCTTCTGCTGCGGCACAGCATCACTCTCTCTCACGCTGAGCCACTAAATTACCCCCAAATAAAGAAAAATTCTTCTGCGACCTGGATGACTGGTGCTAGATGTTTTATGCCATCTCTGCAAATGCTGCTGGGGGCACCATCTGCCTCCTCACTCCATTTATTTAAAAGAAGAATGGCAGATTACCAGTTAGAAACTTTATGAGCCTGAAGAACTTTCAGCCGCTTCAGCATAAAGATGTCAACAAGAAAGAGTCCCTAAAGAATAATACATCCAAAAATGTGCAGCATGATCAGGGAAATCTATCAACACCCACTGCCACATTTCCAAATATTTTTACTAAGTGAAAAAGCAGCCACCAAGTCTGAAAGTATTTTGAATGTATTACACCCACAAGGGTATTTCATGAGCAATGCCCCAGATGTTCTTGGTGTTCTGGAAAAGAGATGGAGGAATAGGATGCTCCTTCTAGATATACACAAGGCATATTGCATTTGGTTTACCAATCTATTGACATATCTGTTGCTTCTAACTTAGCTTGTCTCTATAAATAAAAACATGGTTTAAAGTTCTGAGCTCCATCTAAATAAACTATCACCCAACCATTTTAACAGGATTCACATAACTTTCCTTTTTCACCATAGCTTCAAAATTTCTGACTATATGAAGCATCTAAAATCACTGACTATCTGACATTTGGCTAAGTCTTTCATACAATATCCACTCGATGCCATGAAAGAAATGTATTTGCAATGGCTTTTGCTCTGCAAATGTCATGTGGGTGTCCTCAGGGGATTGCATTAAGCACCTGGCGCCCACCATGAGGCTCTGTTAATGAGAGATATAAAGGTTATGTTGAAATTATTGTTTAAAGGTGCTGACACATCACACACAATACATACACACTCCCACACACTCACAATCACACGCAGTCACAAACTGAAATATATATACTGAGGAGCAACTCTTTCAGGGTTTAAGAGAGAAAGCAGAGGGAAGAAGCTATTTCAGCCAAGGTTATTCTGTGGATATCTCTATGCAAGACAATGCTGGTAATTATCTATTACTTTTCCCTGATTGATCCCACATTATTACATAATAGTTTGGCATTAAGCACCGTACTAAGTTTCAGGAGATGGCAGGAAATACAAAGAATAATCTAAAGGCTCTTTTCTTTAGTATAAATTGATCAAATACAAAGGGTTCATTACTATAGCGTAATATATTTATCTACTAATTCATTCATTTAACATCTATTTCCTGAGAACTAAATACCAAGCACTTTGATACGGGCTGGTGCTATGACAGTGGGTAAAATCAGACATGGTTCTGCCTTACTGGAGCTTGTAATCTAGTGAGGGATGCAGAAAATCCAAAATCACACAAATCAATGTAAAATCTCAACCGTGACAAGTGCTTAGAAGAACAGGTAACACAACGCTATGAGAGAGAACACTGAGGGGGATTTCACCTTTTCAGGAAGTCAGGGAGTCATCTTGACATAATGATGCTCAATCTGAGATTAGACAGTGCGAGGCTTATACTCAATGGAGAAGGGCAGGAAGAAATTCCAGGCACATGACAAGGAGCAGGGGACAGACAGCTAGGTGAGGATCTGAAAGAAAACCATTCAAGAGGAAGTACTACCCATGAGTAAGGAGAGAGGGGACGGAATCAAACCAGGCAGGAGCTGGTAGACTCTACTGAGGACTTCAGTCTTTATTCTAGGAACAATGAAGACACTGAATGGGTTTAACCAAAGGCATGAAATCAAAAGATCTACATTTGGGAAAAGATTATTCAGATTACAGTGTGGAGGACACACTGAAAGAAGCTCTGGCAGTAATCCAGATGACAGATGTAACCTGCGTTTGAGTGGCGGTGGTAATAAAAAAGATTTTTTGCTGTCATGTCATAGAGACACTGTAGGACAGAGTAGAACTGCCCAATAGGATTTTCAAAGCTGTAAATCTTTACCGAAGAAGACTGCCAGATCTTTCTCCTGCAGAGCAGCTGGTGCGTTCAAATCACCGGCCTTTCGGTTAGCGGCTGCGTGCTTAACCACTGCACCACCAGGGCTCCCTAACAGAAAGGAGTGAGTGGAATTGAGACAAAACCTATTGCTGGATTAGAGATGGTGGGTTAGGAACAAGGAAGTATTAAAGATACACCCTAGGTATCTGACTTTTGTAAGTAGATGGATAGAATTAGAGAATACTGGAAGAGAGGCAGCTTTGTTGGGGAAGATCAGGAGAGTTCCATTTCTGGCATATGTTGAGAGCCTTCTCAGACAGACCAGAGACAATGTCAAGTACACAGCTGGATATATGGATCTGGAGCTCAAAGAGGAGATGTTATGGGACCATAACATCTTTAAAGTATTTTTAGAAAAGAACAAGTGTACTCGTTTGAGGTTTCCCTTCCATCACTAAAACTTAGAACAATGGTGTCACGGATTGACTTGTGTAGCCCAAAAATGTGTATTGACTTGGCTGGACTATGATTCCCAGTATTGTATGATTGTCCACCATTTTGTCATCTGATGTGATTTTCCTATCTGTTGTAAATCCTACCTCTATGATGTTAATAAGGCACAATTAAAGACAGTTATGGTAATGAGGCAGGACTCAATCTACAAGATTAGGTTGTGTCTTGGGTCAATCTCTTTGGAGATACAAAAGAGAGAAGTGAGCAGAGAGATAGGGGGACCTCCTACCACCAAGAAAGTAAAGCCGGGAGCAGTGCACATCCTTTGGACCCGGGGTCCCTGTGCTGAGATGTTCTTAGACCAGGGGAAGATTGATGACACAGACCTTCCCCCAGAATCGACAGAGACAGAAAGCCTTCTCCTGGAGCTGGCATCCTAAATTCAGACTTCTAACCTCCTCGACTGTGAGAGAATAAACTTCTGTTAAAGCCATCTGCTTGTGGTATTTCTGTTATAGCAGCACTAGATAAATAAGACAAATGGTATATTCAAATTTTATCAAACCAAGTCAGGATGGTGTAGTGGAATCTGACAACATGGACCCAAGCTCTGGCTCCACCAACTACTAGCTGGTTGGGTTTAAATAAGCACCTTAGCCTTTCTGCTCCTCTGATTATACACTAAGAAATTATCATTATTACATGCGCCCCATTTACCTCACAGTGTTATTTTAAAGGTCAAATGAGTAAATTTATAGTGAAAACCACTTTAAAATTGTGAAATGATAAAAAGCATTGCCAATAAATGAAAGATTCCATTTTGCATATTTTGATTCTAAAGAATAGAAAGGAAAGTGAGTCACTACAGACAAAATCAAGTTGGTTAGAATGATGGAATGTCACTGAATTCTCGCCAAAATTCAGACTGAGAAAATGAGTGCTTTTCACCAGGCGGTACCTGGGTGACAGGATGTGAATGAAAACAGTATTTGTTCACCTTTTGATCCAAGCTGTAGGCCAGCACCCAGTCCTCTTGCTTAGGATGAAAGAGCAAGCTCTGGATGTAGAAGGTGAGCCGATACTTTTGATAGGTCGCCCCTTCGTCTGAACTGATCAGTATGCTGCTCTCCATTTCAGGGTCACTAAGAAGCATGATCTGAAAAAAGGAGAAAATACAGAGAGAGTTAGTGGAAGAGAATAAATACAAGAAATTAAAGCATAAATATAAAGTGATCTGTACTTGTATATCACAGCACATAAAGGGGCATCTGGGCTTCTGTATGAAATACTGGTGTTATCTTTTCTTCCTGATTTAGTCCTTCATTGCTGAATTGAGCTGAAAGAATGTGCAGGGCTAGGTCTGCATACAAAAGTAGGCTTCATTTTTGATGTCCATCTTTTAAGTCCTGAAAGCATATTCTTATGGTCCTGTGTCCCTGACCTTGGGAAGGTCCTCTCTTTCTCTCAATTCTCTGTAAGTCCCTCTTTATCACAAAATTGTTCTGTAATCACTGAACGTATCCCCCTGTTATCCCGTTGTTTGTTTTTTCTTTCTGAATTGTTTTATCGACTTAATTCAAGTGGTTTTATGATCCCTTTGTTCTAATATTATCCAAAACACAAAGCTCCAAATGTTGCTGCCCAAGAAAGTTTGTCATTCCGAAACCAAATGGGCAGAATGGTCCAGTGAAAACATTCTGGCATCACAACGGGCAGGTTCAAACCTCAACACTTCTATGTTCCTATTGTGTTATCTTGGGAAAGTTAATTAACCTTTGTTGTTATGTGCCATAGAGTTGGTTCCGACTCATCGTGATCCTCTAGGACAGAGCAGAACTGCCCCATAGGGTTTCCAAGGAGTAGCTAGTGGTTTCAAACTGCCAACTTTTTGGTTAACAGCCCAGCTCTTATCCACCATGCCACCAGGACTCTCAAGTAACCTTTTTAGAGGTCTCAATTTCCTCAACAATAACTTCATTTTGATAATACCTGAAATGGCTTTGAGCACTTGGCATAATATATGCTCTTGACAAGTGACAGCTATGACTACTATTTGCCTTTCAGCACTTAAAAGCTCCCTCCAACCACTGCAATCTGGCTTCTGCCCATAGTACCCGAATGACATTGGTCCCACTGGAGATATAATTGACATCCCGGTATTTAAATCTACTGGATGTTTAGAGACTTAGATCTTTATCTTAGCTGACCTCTTAGCAAACTTTGACACCACTAATAACTTCATCCTTCTTAAGCATTCTGGAGACCCTGGTGGCATAGTGGTTAACAGTTTGGCTGCTAACCAAAAGGCTGGCAGTTTGTATCCACCAGGTGCTCCTTGGAAACCCTATGGAGCAGTTCTACTCTGTCCTGTAGGGTCGCTATGAGTTGGAATCAACTTGACGGTGGCGGGTTTGGTTTTTGGTTTTTAAGCATTCTATTCCAGGGGCTTTCATAAGACCACACTCTTCTGATTTTCCTTCTCTTCTCTTTTGGATGCTCAACTTTCTCTGATTATCCTTTAAAAATGGCCATCCCTCAACCCTCTGTTTTAACCTTCTCTTCTCACTCAATACACTGTTCCTCAGTGACCATTTCCACTCCCATTTTTCTCAAATACCGTAATTCTGAAGACAACTCATAAACTAATTCTCCAACAGAGGTCTTCCCCTCTCAGTTTCAGATCTGAAAACTCAGGTGGCCTGGTAGATACCTCCATCTGTAGGCTCTTAGACATCTCAAACTCGAGATGCCCCAGGGGTTCCTGATTCCGGCCCTATTCCTTCCCTAGTGTTTCCTGGGTCTGTGTTTCCACCAACCATTCATGTAGAGCCAAAAGCCTGGGATTCATCCTTGACTCTATTTTCTCACTCACCTCTCTAAAATCAATTTGTATCTGAGCCCTGTGTATTTTACCTCCTAATTAGCTCTAAAATCAAACCCCTTCTCTCCCTGTCTATTGTGATTGCCTTAGTCCACAACATCCTAATCCCTCTACTGGATTACTATTACTACATTCCTAACCACTCACTGCTTTAGGCTTGTCCCCTCCAATCCACTTCGCACATGGTGGCCACAGCAATAATACAAATCTGATTCTGACATTCCCCTATTTGTCATCTTTCAATGGCTGTCCTTGATCTTTCTATATATTCCCTAATACATTCCCAAGCCCTAAAATACCCTGCCAAAATCCACCCCTGTCATGTCTTTGGGTTCATCGTCAGCACAGCCCCTTTGGACTTTATTATCCAACTCTAACCAACTTCTTTGAGTTCCTAAAGTTTCCTGAATGAATTAATAAACAAATGAGTTTATCTCCTGTAGATTTTTTTCCTGTCATTTGTATACTCCCACCAATTGTTGAGGTTGCTTCTGTCACAAGGTCTGAGCCATACGGCCCCAAATACAAAATTAAAGCCAAAAAAAATTTCCAGATATTATACAATAAAGCTATGAAACAGTAGGGTTTTAAAAATGTTACCCATAGCATATATCAGTATTATAAAATAAGCTTTGAAACAAATTTAGGCCTTTTAACTGCTAAGATTCATAGTCCTTTGTCTCTTTTATTTCTTTACTGTTTCTAAGACAAACTTGCATTTTTTTCTCAAATATTTACTTTTGCTTCATTGAAATATGTTATTACTGGTTTTCAGCAAAATTTTAGAAAAAATGGATCTGGTGTAATATTCTTTTTTCATTCACTGGGGAATAATCCAGAGGAAAGATGGGTTATTCAGTAATAACTTCCTTGTCTCACGGTACTGTGAAGGGGTGAGGTAATGGACAAATGGAGCCCCTGTGCCCTTGAGAATGCCTCAGAGGATGTGCCCATGCCCCTTGCAAGATTTGAGAGGACACATATACGGGGTAAGAATGAGGTTTCACAACTGGCCTCGCTCGCTTCACACCCTCTACCAACAGGCTACCTAACAGGCAATGAAATCATTTTCCCCTGGTGCACAGAAATTAAACTGCTTATTTTATGCAAGTATAAAGAAGCTTCATGCCTATGATTTTACTTAGAAGATAAGACCAACATTATAAACAGGCTTTATTTTATATACCATGAGTTACAGTATACTGAATAAGGGTTACTACCAAACATCTTATGCAATGTATTCTTCCTCTAGCTCTGTTTCTTTCTGTACACGCACACACACACACACACGCTAAATCACAAACGCCATATATATGTGTGCACACACACACTAACACACATACCACACAGACACTGCATATACGTGCACGCGTACACACACAAAATGAATTTATATGTAATAAGGCATATTGACATTGTGTGCTGGCTTTATGCGGCTTCGGTTAGCAAGAACACAGTTTTATTGCAATCCTTCTCTGACATTCTCATTAGAAATCCTTTTATATACTTTGATATCACTGGCAGTATCTCTGTTCAATCCTAGTTTTTGAGAAGGATAAAAGGAAGAGAAGTAGAGGCCTACGTACTCTGGATTTCTAATCTGTGTTGGGAACTTGTCTTAGTTATCTAGTGCCGCTATAACAGAACTACCCCAAGTGGATGGCTTTCACAAAGACAAACTTATTCTCCCACAGTCTAGGAGGCCAGAAGTCCAAATTCAGTGTGTCAGCTCCAGGGGAAGGCTTTCTCTGTCGGCTCTGGAGGAAGGTCCTTGTCATCAATCTTCCCTTGGACTAGGAGCTTCTCAGTGCAGGGACCCCAGGTCCAAAGGACACGTTCTGCTCCTGGCACTACTTTCCTGGTGGTACGAGGTCCCCTTGTCTCTCTGCTCACTTCTCTCTTTTATAGCTCAAAAAAAATTGGCTCAAGACACAACACAACCCTGTAGATTGAGTCCCACCTCATCAACATAACTGCCACTAATCCCATCTCATCAACATCATAGAGATAGGATTTACAACAGGTAGGAAAATCACATCAGATGACAAAATGGTAATCATACAATACTGGGAATTATGGCCTAGACAAACTGATACACATATTTTTGGGGGACACAATTCAATCCATGACATTCCGTCCTTTGCCCCCCAACAATTCATGTCCTTGACACATGTAAAACACGTTCCCACCATGATATCATAGTAAAAGTTTTAAATTGACTCCAAGTCCAAAAATCCAAAAATTCCTTTTCATCTGTGAAATCTAGAATACAAGTTATCTGCTTCCAAAGTACAGTGGTGGAACAGGCACAAGCTAGACATTTCCACTACAAACGGGAGAAACTAGAGGGAAAGAAGGGATAACAGGCACCAAGCAAGTCAGCAGAACATATTACATTAGCCCCCAAGGCTTGAAAATAATTCTGTTCTCTGAGACTATTTACACAATGGCCTGCCCTCCAGACTCCAGGTAGTGGCCACACTCTCCGGATTCCGAGTGGAGGCCCCTCGGCCCTGGGCTTCAGCTCCACCTTCCAGGTCCACTGGAACAGCAATTCTGCTCCCTTGAATTTGGGCGGCCCTATTCTCCTAGTCCATCTGAGTGACAACTCCACCCTTTGAGACCCCAGAGGTCGTGGCTGCACTCTCTGGGACTGAGGCAGCTCTGCTTCCTGTGTTCCTTGTCTCTTCAGCTTCTGTTTCCTGGTTCCTTGACCTCTTGGCTCTTTGGGTCTCACCACCAGTGTCTTCCCTGCTGGGGAAAGTGTTTCAAAGCTCTTTAGCTCCACCAACAAGTGTCTGGAGGCACCCCACTCCACCAGTAAACTTAAGTTGGAAGGCACTCAACTCTCTTGCTCTGCAAGTCGGTAAGCCCAGCTCCACCGATAAGTGCCCAGAGGCACCTCACTCCACCAGAAAGCATCCTGTGCAAAGGCACTCAGCTCTCTGGCTCTGTGGGTCGGCTCCAGCACTGTGTTGAACCGGTCTGCTGGTTCTGCTGCTGCCATTTCTCTGCTGTTGTTGGTCCTCTGCCACTGCTGGTTCTCTGCTGCTTCTTGCCTTCTGAGTTGTCTCCAGTGTAACAGCTCTCCTCATTTCCTTCTAAGTCCTCACTAGAATAATCTTTGACATATATAATTCACCAACGGTCTTTTCAAGGTAATCTTAAAACTCTTCCAGCCTCTATCCATTCACAGTTTCAAAACCGCTTCCACATTTTAGGTATCTGTTATAGCAGCACCCTACTCCTGGTACCAAATTCTGTCTTAGTTATCT